AAATGCCCTTAAATCAGACATGGAAATTAATTAATATTACCACACAGGATTGACAATATTATTATTGAGACAAATTATTGAGGCAATGATACAGAAAATTGATAATGGCAAAAAATATTATGGTTTCATGCTCTCAGCACCCAAATAAGTAAATAAATAAATAAAGCCTATTTATTTGGCAGCGCCTGCACAAGTTAACAGCTATCAGTTGTAATTGTTAATAATGTGTAAAATAAAAAAAATCATAAAAAAGTCTCCTAACATACCTTTAATTTTTGGTTCTCAACTGGTTTTGCTTCAGGACCCAGATTATATAGTGACAAAGTTGTTTAATTTATCTGTAATGTACAAAATGCCCTTAAATCAGACATGGAAATTAATTAATATTACCACACAGGATTGACAATATTATTATTGAGACAAATTATTGAGACAATGATACAGAAAATTGATAATGGCAAAAATATTATGGTTTCATGCTCTCAGCACCCAAATGAGTAAGTAAATAAATAAATAAAGCCTATTTATTTGGCAGCGCCTATTTGCACTAAGTGTAAATAGCAATTAGATGCTATTTAGCCTACACTAAGTGAAAATAGCATATTTTCTTATCGATATATGCTATTTACACTAATTGCAAATAGCAATAGATTTTATTTACACTATATAAAAATAGCAGAATTTTCTGCTATTTATACTACTTTTTGCAAATATTGGCAAGTACTGTAGTACATTATAAAACATACACTTACCTTACCCGATACTTTATTTTCAACTTTTCGGTTATTTCCTTCATTTCTATTGTGAAAAGGGAGAACAATGAGTTCAGCCAAAGGTCTCGGGTCGATCGCGTCAAAACGCTTACTCTACGCAATTTACCGTCTACTCTATGCAATTTACCTCCACTGAAGTTATTATTTGGCCATCTTTTGTAATGTTGTCTAGCCCAACCATGTTGGTGCATGGAATTAGTATAAATAGCCTCTGCCAACAAGGTATTTATTTTGTTATCCTAACTATGCACAATCATATTTTTAGCATCTAGGATTTTTCCCCTCTTGTCCACGATCCTATCAGATCAGACCAGCAGTCATTTTTATATCGCGACCCACCAATTGAAAAGCACTGCTCTAAAAACCACTAGAGGCCCCCATTCTGGCAGTGGCCACTAGTGAGAGGTCATTTATATTAGCAAAAAGAAGAATGACAGTTATTACCCTTGCTCAGCTGTGTTAAATAGCAATGATAATACTTTGAAGAATCTGACAAGCTTTTTTAATTAGCTTTCCCCACCCTCCGGAGATATAATTTCTGAGTGAAATATGTGAGGAGCAGCATCTCGAGCTTCAAAGGCAACATGCTTTGGTCCGCTTTGATCAGTAGAAGCAGTTAAATGCCTGGCTAGATTGTGATGGATAGCATGCTGGTTTTTGTCTGATGGCGTGCTGCAGGTTTCAGTGCACAGCTAATGAGGTGGAGTGTGAACGAGCAAACAGCGCTGAAAACTGCAGTCTCTCATACTCAACACACAACAGCTGTACACCCAAATATTCAGTGGACTTTCAGCAGATGAATGGAAGGCCCACTAGGGTTTCTGAAGACTGCACAAACCTTACTCTTTTTAGACTAGCATTAATGTAAGACCCTTGCAAAGGGCAATAAACCCCTCAGGGTTTAAAAATGTCAAATAAGGACCACAAGAACACTGATTCTGTTGTTCACTCACTTATGTGTCAAAGTACGGCGTGTTATAGTAAATATTTTTTGTATGAATATCTTGTCTGAATTTATGGTCACAGTTTGCTCTAAGATGGAAGCCAGCTCAGCGGCTGGTGTAACTAAATTCTCCCTGTACATGAACACTTTCAGCTACTCTGCAACCCTCACAATACTCCACTTTTTTCAACTACTTTGAAGCCGTGCAGCTTCTCTGCTAACTGAGTGACAAAGTGCAGCCTCTCTGCTAACTGAGTGACAAAGTGCAGCCTCTCTGCTAACTGAGAGCAAAGTCGAGAGTGATGCATATCTTTAAACCCTGATCCTGTAAGTCAGAAACATCACAAACCACAGCAGGCCAGAAATCTGCACAAATATTCACAGACAAAACCCTGCAAGCCATTTGACACTGTCACAGAAGGTTTCGGTTGTAATGTATTGAAACAACGCAGCAGGAATACACTTATTCACAAGATGATGCCACAGAAAAATGAGAGGAAATTCAACAAGTAAAACAGGCCCAGACAAAATCTAGAGTCTTTGTTTTTTGTTTTTTTGCACTGATTTTAAGTATAAAATATATAAAATAAGTATAAAATACATTAAAAGTACTATTAGGCAATCTGACAACATAACCAAAAAGTATGCAAAAATTTTTTTAAAAAGCTAATTCTATATATTTTTTTCTGGTAAAAATTTTGCAATTTGAAATGCATTTTTTTAAATAAGCTCCAGGTTTGCTGTGCCTGCTTGTAGGGGCTGCACAATTTGGCTTATATTTGAATCTGATTATATATCAATATGACTATAAATTAAAAATTATTAATATTATTTTATATTATTATTACTCAAATAAAATATAATATTTCAAATAAATATTAAACGAAATAAGAAATATTACAATTGTAATCATACAAATTGAGAATTTAATAAATCATATGATTTCTTTGCTTTTAATCTTTGAACTACAGAGCATTTATTTCAGCTGAAAACCACAGAAAGACCTTAAAGACTTTTTTTTTATTTTTTTTTGACAACAGATTTATAAACTATTCTCATAACACGTAATTTAGATAATTACATATATTCAAAAAGAAAAGAAAAACAGGTACCAAAAATATTTAAAAGAGTACTAGTACATGTAGAAGTTGGGGACTGTGACATGTAAATTCTCAGGATTGTTAATCTGATAGCAGCTGTAATGTGAGAAACCAGCTGAACACCTGACAGCATGCAGGGAAGGGAAATGATGCATGTGATCTTCCTCATTCATATGGCCTTTCTCTACAGGGTGCACAAACACATCAGCTTTTTGAAATCTCTCCTACATGCAATCTAATTGATTTACTCCTTTAAACATGTGTCAGGTCTCTGACGTGCAGCCATCCATCACAGCACAGCAGCAGTTGAGGCTCATTGAGTCGTGATGCTGCTCTGCCGGGCCACAGGGGGTCTTAGCGTGTCAGCACCTGCAGTACAGCAGAGACCGAGCTGAGAAACCCATGCACCGGTCAGTCCCTTGGAGCCTGGTTTTGTGAGCCTTTTCTAAACACCATTGACTCGACTGGGATCACCCTGCTTCACACTACTCTGCCACACAAATCCAGTTCAGTTTTCAAATCCAATCTTGAGGACTGAATTATCTGCACTGTATATACAGTATACACAGTGTATACAGTGTTGTCGATATCCGAAGTATCAATATATAGGTGTGGTCACATTTGCTATTGATTGGCAAAATTTCAAAAGCGAAATCCAGTAATTACAAAAGAAATCCACACAATCAGGAGATTTGTGTGAAGGCGAAAAAAGGTTTCGTTCAAGTTGGTCGGGCGAATTTACCATGCTGACCAACAGAAATCTTCTTGGTTTGAAAGTGACTTCTGTGTGAGCAGTGCTTAATGCATCTTTACACTATTGACAATAGATAATGGACCATTTTTGCATGTTAATTTCGCTTAAGACATTCCAAAATATCAGAGTTTGATCAGACTTCACACTGAATTTGATATGAATCAGGTTTGTAAACTTTGGATTTCATGTGTTGTTTTGCTATTCAAAAAGCGAACAGATTTGAGTCAGATACAAGAGATCTAGGTTTCGTCAACAGTCTTGTGGCAATTCACCTGCCCCACTAAGGTTAGGTTTAGGTGCAGGTTCATGCTTAATTTATTTATTTTTTACTAAAAATCACACATTTTCATAAGAATTACAAATTCATACGAAATTCAAACTTTATAAAACAATTTTTTTTCTTGTGAATCGGGTTGCGATTAGTTGGTTAGCATGGACCAATTAACTCCTGTTGGAAGATGTTTTAACTACACCATACGGTTGCAAACAATTGTCCCAAATATTTAATTATAGTATATTATAATAAAATAGGGGAAAATTAGTTTTTAAGGGTGCTTTAAAGAGTTAAATTGATTTCATATTTACATATTTCCCTGTCCACAGAACAGTTAGTCAGGTAACTTGCTCAAAACACCAGCAAAACTGAACATCCGTGCACAAAATCATATAGGGGAGTCCTGCGTCATCCAAGCAACTGCCATTGAGATTAATGGGAATGCTTACAGTGAACCCACGCTCTATAGGAATCTCAGATAGCAAAAGCACACATCATGTACATTTACCCTTCACTTTACACATAAAGACAGGTGTTCATTTGTCACACATCATTACTTCCTAGATATCAAAGTGAAATGGAGACACTAAGGGAGTGGAAGACACTGATAAAGAGGTAAATTGGGAGTGAGAAACACTGGATTGGTGTCAGTAATCAGAAGCTCTGCAGAGTGAAGCCCTGAATCAACAACATCTGTGACATGTAATTACAAGCAACATGATGATCACACACACAAAGCAATGTTGTGAGTGCAACAACAGATTGATCAATACATATTGATCAATCCACCTTTGCTTGTTTTAACTGCATCACATGCCAACAATAAAAATGTCTACATCCACAGAGGAAGTCATCTCACGAAATGATCACATATATGACTTTCTACTTGATTTTAAAGATCTATTTGAATTGTAAATAGGTTTTATGATACATTGCAACTACTAAATACCATGCATAATAAGCTTCAAACTACTTTAGCTGAAGGTTTAGGGATGGTCTATTAAACTGGCAGATCATCTGAGGTCTTTTTGTGGAGTTTAAAGAGCATTCCAAATGCACACCTTCAAGTTAATTTTAGTATGTTTAGTCATTTTTTTTGCATATAATTTCACTTTTCAAAATGTTTATCTAATAGATAACGTAAATGCATCCTCACCTCTGTAGCAAACTGTTAACCAAAGCAGTTCAAGAAACTGTCCACCAAATTCACAAACATCCAAGCCCAACATTGTGAGTAAGCTCTTTTCAACAAGAATTCCCAAAAAAATTTACTCCCAAAAAATTCCAGAAAGCACACCTCCTGTGGTATAGAAAAAATGTGTCTAAAACACATTCAAAGAAGAATTCACAGCTGCATCCCTCCTACCACCACAAAAAAACCAAGATACAGAATCACTGGGTGTGGGTTGGCTAGAGAGAGAGCGAGTAAGAGAGAGGGTCTATTAAACTGGCAGATCATCTGAGGTCTTTTTGTGGAGTTTAAAGAGCATTCCAAATGCACACCTTCAAGTTAATTTTAGTATGTTTAGTCATTTTTTTTGCATATAATTTCACTTTTCAAAATGTTTATCTAATAGATAACGTAAATGCATCCTCACCTCTGTAGCAAACTGTTAACCAAAGCAGTTCAAGAAACTGTCCACCAAATTCACAAACATCCAAGCCCAACATTGTGAGTAAGCTCTTTTCAACAAGAATTCCCAAAAAAATTTACTCCCAAAAAATTCCAGAAAGCACACCTCCTGTGGTATAGAAAAAATGTGTCTAAAACACATTCAAAGAAGAATTCACAGCTGCATCCCTCCTACCACCACAAAAAAACCAAGATACAGAATCACTGGGTGTGGGTTGGCGAGAGAGAGAGCGAGTAAGAGAGAGAGAGGGGGGAGAGAGATAGTAGAGAGACAGAACGTGAGAGATGGAGAAAGAAAGTAAGGGAGTGAACAAATGCACAATGCACGATCTGAGTGTAATCCGTGCTGGAAGAAGAGCCGTGGCTGAAGTGTTGGCAATGAGGCAGTAATGTGGGAACAGTATTCCGGTCTGCAGACGCTATTGATTCCACCGGCAAGAGAAGCAAACCCTCCGCCTCAGTTCAGCACGCCTCCCAACCCCATCACTCATTAGACAGGAGACTGCGATGATCTCATCCTCTTTCTCACACACATGCACACAAACACACACACGGTTCCTTTGCCCCTCTTTTCTCTTTATTCCCTCTTCTATTTCTCTGTCTTCACATTCCAGTTCTCTAGAGACACTTATTATTCCTACCATCCCCCGTTTTATATCAACTATCATATTGTTTCCCCTTTTATCTCCCCTTCTCTCTCTCTTTCTCTCGCTCTTTCCTTCAGGGGCAACATGCTGGGTGGATTGTTTTTTTCTCCTCTAGTCGAAGATGACTTTCTATCAGTTTGCAGTTCTCCAGCACGTCGCTCTGACATCTCTCTCAGGGGTCATCAACCTGTCAGAGGAACCTGTCGGAGGTTACACTGGGCGTGCCGCTGCATTTCACGCGGCCTTGATGCTCTGCCATTGGTAGCGTCTTGCTGAGTGGTGCTGCATTGCCAAACCCTTTTTCAAGAGACTTGTGAGGAGAGAGTTTATGTGCGCCGACCCATTACGGCATTTCTCTGCATGTCTGGTGCAAAGATAGGGAGCAAACAGCACATGATCTGATGTGTCAACTTGGTAAAGACACAACAGATTGCATCGGAGGTGGCATGTATATTTTAGTATAACGAAGCAATGAGCCATGAAGGCAGTGTGTTACGGTGATTTTTCTAAGCGAAAAGGATGTTTTTAGGGATGGCGCTAAGTGAAACACCCTTAACTGTTGTAAAAATAAACAGTTACGTGTGGGTTTATTATTGAACTCAGAACACAGCAATTTGATAAATGAAAACAAGGTTAAAAAAAAGTTTGATTTATGGCCCATTTACATCAAGGACGATACCCATAACGAAAATAAATATAAAGTTAATAATCGTTCTAATTCTCTGAGAATAAGGAAGTCTATAATGATGATGAAATGCAGTTGGAATCACTTTAAAACATTTTTTTTTTCAATCTGATGAACAATAAAAACTTTGACAACCAATCAGAATCCACACAAATGACCCTTCGCAAAGACCCGCCCCCTTTAGTTACTGTTATGTCCGAAAAGCCATGCCACTCTCACAGTGAAAAATGCATAGCGGAGCAAAGAGGAAACTAACAACGCGTCAACAGACAAGACAGAGTAGAGCAAAACAATAAATACCATTTTGTGGCTCTTTAATGTTACAGATCACTGTAGCACCTCCGTTCAAACGGCAGGTGAACCGATCATCTCTTCCTTTTTACTAGTTTTAGCAGTGGTGGGCCGTCAGGGCCAGCAAAAGCCTTCTCTGCTGGCCTAAACACTATTAGAATCACTGATTTAGTTTTAATGTATTTTTCCATGAATGTGTATTAAATTATTTCCAATAGTCTATTCTCTTCAGTTCATAGCTTTTCTCCACATAGACATGCCCCTGGTTGCACTGCTTCCAGCAGTGTATGTTTATATTAGAGCTTTTATCCAATCATATTTCAGCAATCGTGTTGCCAGGGTCAAAGAAATCTGCCTTAAGGCCTTCAGAATCAACAGCGCAGGCGTCTGTTAGCTTAAATCAATGGCAATGAAACCGTTGCTTTAACCAATCAGATTTCGAGTTGGCAACACCAGGGCCATCTAGCTGGCTAACGAAAACGTCAGCATTTTCTCGTCCTTTGATTGGATGGTCAGCATACTAGCTAGCAAACAGCATCACTGTAAATAATTTTATTAAAACTTAGTAAAACTTTTATTACTGTTTCTCAAGTTTAGATTTTCAGTGCATTTTGAAAAAATATTTGCCTACTATATTTAGTAAATCTAAAAACAGTAGTCCTAAATGACTGCAAAAAACAACCACACACCTCCTCGGCACCGGCTCTGTGAAAGACTCGTGAAGATGAAAAACCACTAGACTATGGTAGGTTAATTTTCATTTTTGACTCTTTTATCGCTTGATGCGTTGTATGCTGATGTTATTTGCGCGATATAAAGCCAGGTTTAAGTTTCCGTAAGAATATCTCA